CATCTTGGTAAAACATAAACACTCTACTAGTGTTTCAGGTCTGGGGAAAATCAGGGCTTGTGCAGTATTGCAGAAAGCTCTTTCTAAAATCTAAGATCATTTGAATTTTCAAGGTGGCAATAGTACATTCACTGTTGGTTTTTTCTGTTGGTTTGGATTAGCAGTGCTCAGCTTTCAAAGTCACGAAGGAAAGTGTTTTTGCAGGGGATTTATCAATTTAAATATTTTTAATATCAGCAGTTGAAAATTCAAGTGTAAAAGGCCATGCAAAAATAGCAGTAAAGGAATCCAAAGCTATAAAAGCTGATGGTGAGAATTTAGATGCAGAAACAGCTGTTATTTCCTGGGGAGTTCAGGTATATAAACTCTTCCATGGCTGTGTATCCCCACAATAGTGGTGTGAAGAATTAGCGCTCACTGCAGTATGCAAACTGAACCCGCCAAGCACTGAGGCAGCTATTCATCTATACCCAGGAGCTAAATATGACAATGTTAGCATTTTTCATTTCCCTGACGTTACCATTAATAAAGCAATGATCCAAAAGAAGCTTTGCTGAGTCTGTTCTTTATGCTTCCATCACTCACGACTAGATAATTTCACACAGGATCGTTTTTAAATTAAATGACGATAAAAGCGCTCTGCTGTCCTGTGTTCACTAGTTCATAGAAGTCTATCAAGTCATTAATGTGTCATGACAAACTGCTAGTTGGATACAAGAGTAATTAATTATTTGCATAAATAACAGGTTGAACTTCGTGCTTTGAACCGCAGTGACATGTGCGTCACATCATGGACATCTTGGAACCTCTCGCAGAGAGTTCATGGGAGGGGCGGAAGCCGAGGCGGCGTGTGCGCTGTCGCATCCTCACCCGCTTCAAACGGGCAGGAGCTTGGCTGGAGTTTTGATGCTTTTTGTGTTCCTGCATTCTTCATTAACGGCTGCTTCAAGAAAGCATCTGATCACTGGAGATTTCAATGAACAATTATACAGATTTTCATAATCACCATTAATCACCACATATTTTTCAAGATAATTACAGCAATTATTATTTAGATTCCTCTTTTATGTCCGCATTGTAGAAAAGAACAAGTGCTTATTACGCTGGGTAGTGTAGAGAACTACGGTCTGAAGTTCTTTGTCATCCAGAAACTCATTATGTTAGCTGATGCTGCCTGTGAAAGTTCGTCAGCGTGTTTAAATTAGGGTAGCATTGGCAGGTCTGATTATTTAAATCTGGTAGCTTTGCTAAAAATATAGTTATTCAAGAAAGATGAATTACTAATTTGACAACTGAGATTTAGTTGGAGTCTACAGCACAGAAGGCAGCATCTATCGTGTGCTTAAAGGAGGGTGACAGTACTTTTTCAGATTAAAAAGAGAATTTCTGAGCCAGCTAACAAGTTGTATTTTTAGAGCACAGTTTTGTGGCCTGCCCTTTAAAGGCTGAGAGTAAGTCTTAGTAAATTATAATGAAGAAGTAGGCACCAGTTAAAAGTTGATTGTGCTTTTCAGTGGTCCTGCACTAATGAAAGGGGTGGCTCTTCCTTCCTTTCATGTACCCTTCTCTTGGAGGGGTCCAGCCTCCTCCTGGCTACTGTCTTCATGGGGACCCCATCCTCCAGGGCTTGGTTTAGGAGTGAGCTTGTCTTCCTCCTGGTCCTGCTGGTGTGCTCAGAGTGGTACAAGCAGGATCAGCTTTGCCTACTTGTGCGAGGAGGCTTTATGTGAAACATGCAAGGTGCAAATGTTTCACAGGACTTTAAAAATGTTTTGAAGTCACCACCTTTTGAAGATGTTATACATGGGCTGATGTGTGAGTTTGCTCATGTGGTGGTGTGAGTGATGTTGCCAGTGGTAGTGTTGTAAAAACAAGGCCTTGCCACCTTTTTTGTCCTGAATCAGTACACGTTGCCTTTGGAAAGAGCTGTATTTGGTCCTTAACCAGCACCAGATTCTTTTATCTGTTTGTGTTACTATCTGTTGGTCTCAAAGGTAACACAACTAAGAGTTAAATAGCTCTTGGCCAGACTAACACCAGAACTGCAGCTCCAGGCCAGAGACTGGCTGGTGAGTCTTGATGCTGCCGGTGGAAATAGTAACACCGGGCAGAATCTCAGCACAGCACTCTGCTCATCAGAGACTGCCAGGAGTGCTTCAGAAGCAACGGTGGGGGGAGGAATCAGAGGCTGCTGCTGCTGTTTATTTACAGCACAACATCAGAACAAGGGACATGGAATTAAAAGCCTCCTACGGTTCTGGTTTGCATTTAATTTTATTATGAAGTTAACTGGCTGCTGTAAACGGCAGTTGTGCACTGTCTCATGGTGCACAGCAGGAGTGATGGCACCCAGACCCTGGTGCTGGACACCCCAGCAGACTGCAGCACAGCAATGGGAGCTCTTTCCTGCTTGTTGCTGGAGATGCGTGGCCCTGGAGGCTGCTCCCTGCAGTTACCTCCATCCCTTTTCTGTGAGTCTCAGTGGGCTGGTGTGCGGTGGAGGAGTGCTTTTAAGGGCTCAACCTGCACAAGTGGTGAGTTTGAGCTTGCACATGTGCAGCCCTGTCATGGCTTACGTGGCATGGCCGTGCTCCACATGGGAAGCATGGGAAGGTGGGTTCTGTGCAGGGAGATGTGCTGCTGAACCAACTGTGATGGACCCAGAGTGCAGGGAAGGACCAGTGCTGCAGTGTGGCCTTGGGAGAGCGCTCAGCCCCATCACTGTGTAGTGTGCAGGGGTGCCCCTGTGAAATCACTGCAGAAATGCATTGCTGCAGCTGGCATTTTGTTCAGAACAGCGTAGTGTGTGGTACCCTCGTGAAGCACAGCACAACACAGTCTTATCCATGGGATGTAGAAGCTACCGTTAAGATGAGATGGTTCATTGTTGTGCTGGAGCAAATTGTCACTGCATTTGTTACTCATCTTGGGACTGAGATTTACATTTCTAGAAGGAAGTTGGGTGCCTCACCCTTGATGTCCTCGTGAACGTGACAAAAGCAGCAGTAGCTTTCAGTCTCTCTTTCTTTGACCTTTACTCCAGGACAGTGTGCAGCACTTCCAAGGGTGAGGTGGAGGACACAAGAGTGTGCTTCCTTGGAAGCATTTGCTTTGCCCAGGGCCATGTTTCAGCCTGGAAGGCTGGAGCCCAACCAAGACGCAGGGTGAAGGGGCAAAGGCTGCCAGTGCTGGAGGCAGCCACTGTGCAGCCTGGTGCTTTATTTCTGTACAGTTTCCTGATTTGGTGGGTATTTAAATCCTCGTGACTCCCAGTGCCTGGCTGTGAAAAGGGCTGTTGAATGAGGGTGTTGTTTTCTGATTTCTGCCTCTAATGTATTTTACCAGCAGGCTGGTGACGGGCCTGACACGCGGCTCCTGTGCACGTTCCTGCGCTTTGGGAGCGCAGCATTAATAACACACTTCCATGCATCATGCCATTTTTAAGCATGATCGTTATGATAAAGGGCATATACTTAATTACAGGCCTGCTTAATTACAGCTCTGTTGAAGCTCGTTTGTTTAGGAGAGTGCTAATTGCGCTGCTGAGCCTTTGGCACACCCTGCTTTCAGCTGCTGCTTTGCTGTGCAGTTCTGAGCTCTGGGAGGGCTGGAGTGCGCGAGGACCGAAGGACGGGTGGACGGGCATGCTCATCGTGGCTTAGTCTTTAAATTACCTTACCAAAGCCAGCGTGTGACTGATCAAAGCAGGTTTCTGTCGGGATAACAAATGCAGATGGGCTTCCAGGTTCAAAACTTCCTGGATTTGGTGATGCTGCTTTTCATCTGTTTCCTTTTGGTTCTCACAGCACTGTGACTGCCACAGAGCACCTTTGATAATGAAATGACTCCAGTGGAGAGTTCGGAGCTTTTTTAAAGTGAAAAATATAAAAAGCAAATGTAAGATGCTATGTATTCTTAAATAACCCTTGTTAAATCACTAACATGGTAACTCACTGGTGCTAATGGAAGTTGCAAAGAGCAGGCAGAGGAACACTGAGTTTGTGGGTGCAGATGCTTTGTGAAAGAAAACCCCATTTGAAGATTACTTGAGGGCATTTCAGGGCTTAAATTTGCTCTAGTTTGAAGTTTTTATTTCTTTCAGAGCTGCAATTTAAGGACTTAAAATGTTAAAGATGTACCTGAAATAAAGCGGGTGTATTTGGGGCTGCACTCTGTCTTAGAGATGTGCCCTTTTCCATCTGGTGTGGAAATTGCTGAGTTCCATGTTTGGAAAGTAAGTGTCTCCCTTGTTCTGACACGTCTTGTGGGAGGCTTTCTGTGAAGTTTCTGAGGTGGTGGTAGCAGGACACAGACACGGAGCCATTGCACCAAGAGGATAGTACTGCTAAGCTTGTGCTGCAGGGAGAGCTTGGCCCAGGGACACGAGGCTTTGCCGTCAGCTGTCATGTCCCTGTGTCTGGCCTCACACTCCGCTGGTTTCCATTCTCCTGCTGTGATTTGCAAGTGTGTGAGCTCTGCTGCTCCCTGTCGAGTTTGTGCTGGCAGCAGCCAGGCCAAGACAGTGCTTGGCCCTTGGTGTTTGTAGTACTTAACTACTTGGGGGGGTACAAGGCACCCAAACTGGGCATGATCCTTGTCTTCTTGCTCAGACACCACTGAGTTCGTTCAGGTGGTTCTGTGTGGTAGTGGTAAATGAATCTCAGTCCTCTTAAAACGGTTGTGTTTGTTTTCCGTTTCATATACTGTCTGCTTTGGCAGCTGAACCAAACTGGAAGACTCAAAATTGAGACCATGAAATTGTATATGGGTAGAGCAGGGAGGGTTCACTGGATTCCTGATTTGGTAGGGACTAACCCAGCTGTGTCTCAAACAGAGAGAAACCACTGGCAGGTTCGAGCGAGGAAAAGGCTGGCAATAGCTTCTGCGAGCTATCACTCGTGTCAATGCCATGAATACTTGATCTGTCACTGGGAACGTGTGAAGCTGCATGTCAGAAGTCAGCTGGAAGTGTGACTGTCTGCTTGTTTTGTCTCTTTCAGCAATGGATGGAGTGCCTTTCATGATTTCGGACAAGTTTGCCTGTGCTCCTGAAGGGGTGAGTTGCCTTTGTTGTTCTTTCAGTGTCTAAAATGCATCTTTTCATGGAGAGCAGTCACAAAACATCAACACAAATCACCTGCTTCTGTGAGCTTTTCCTTTGTGGGGCCCAGTACATAAATGCTTGAAATGACCCAGTGCTGCACTTAACAATAGTTCCCCTATTGCCAGATCCCTCCTAAAACTGCTTTTGTCCCAGGGGTTTCATAGAACCGTATAATCACAGAATGGTTTGCGTTGGAAGGGACCTTAAAGATCTAGTTCCAAAGGCTTAGCATCCCATTGCAAGTTCCCTAATCTACCCAATTCTAAAACAGTATCTCTTTAAAAATCAGTTTACAAGAAGCTGCTAAGGCAAACACTGAGCCATCAGCTGTATCTGAGTTTTCACATCTGTGCTGCCACTTTGTGCTTTCTTCTTCCTGCTGACACAACCTGCATGTGCAGCCGGACATGGTTTTCACAACCATTGCTTTCTGAAAGGGTGGTTTATGGGCCGTTGTTCCCAGAAAGCTGGAGTCCCTGCTGCGAGGACAAATGCAGAGAGATTAGGTCGTGGTAATCCTCCCCTCGGATCCTTTAGACACCATTGCCACCATATGGCCAGTTTGGTCGGGGCTTCCCACAGTCAGCACTGCTCACACCTACATGCTGAGGCCATATGAAATCCATAGGGTGTTACAGAGTGCTGGTAACAGGCGTCCTGCAGCAGGGAGATGGGTAAAGATCTCCAAAAACCTGTGCAAAGTGACACCAATATGAGTGTCAGCTGTTCCTGCTTAGGGAGAAAGGCATTAGAGCTGCTATCCCTAACCCACACTTGTAGGGGACTGAGAAACAGGATTATGCATGTGTTTACAGATGGTGCCTCTGAATCTCTGGTGATAGAGTATTTGCTGACTTAAAACAAAAAAAAAAAACCTAAATTTAACATTTCTGTTTCTTTTGCTCTTGCCAGATGCAGCCAGTTGATCTCTTGGGCATCACAATCAAAACCCTTGCAGAAATCGAAAAGGAGGTAAGTAGTGAGTCAGGCACTAAGCAGAAGCATTGTGAGAGCTGTGCTGACTTTGTTGTAAGATCCCTTCCCTCATGGAAAAATTCCCTCTTGTCTTTCCTAAGTCACTGCTGGTGGATAAAGTCAATGCAGAGTCAAACAGTAAGCTCAGAGTTAGGGATGTCCTCCACGATCCAGGTGAAGACACTTCAGGTGTTGAATCTAATGGCAAAGTCTGCTGCCCTCTGTTTAATTCCAGATGTCTATCTTATTTAACCTTTCTTTCTCATTTATTAACAAAGCATGCTACAAGCTGCTTGTGTTAGGTTGCTTCTTGCATCTCAGGGAAGCAGAGGAGCTTGACTAAGCAATGTCAGGTAAACTGAGTCATCACTTTTCAGTTTGATGCTGCTGGTAACGTGTTACCAAGAAAACCAGGCTGGGCTTTCAGTGAGCCCAAGTCTTCCAGGAGCTTGGGGAGGAGACAGCCATCAAGTCAAGGGTGGTCTCGTGTTCCCATGGGGAGCATTTTGGCATATGTATGACTTGGAAGGCACTCTGCTGAGGAGCCTCCTGTTCTGCAAGGGCTGCTTCTCAGCTGAAGTTTCAGACCAGGAGGAAACGTGCCTCAGCAGCACGTGCTTCTTCAGGCATCATCAGTCACAAACATCATCTCTTGTGCTGAGCAGCTGGGTTAAGCGAAGTAAGAAGATGGCAAAGCAAAACTTCCAGACTCCTCATGGCTTCTTCACTTTGTGATTACAGTTGTGAGTCCAGTTTCCTAAATCCATCCTTTTCTGCCTGGAAGTTGTGTCTGAGTACCAGAAGGTGGTTGGTTGCCAGGGCCTTCCCAAGCACCTGGCAGGCCAAGGGAGCAGTGACGATGCTCTGAAGGCACTGCCCGAGGCCCACCACTGCCCAAAGCACCCGGTGCCTCAGGCACTGTGGTCCTGCCATGTTGCACATGTGCCATGCTTCTGTTCGGGGCTGCCTGCATCTGTGGCGAGGGCCCTGCATGCTGGGAGCTAGAGGTGCTCAGGGCTGGCAGCCCCTGTGCATGCTGAATGCCTTCCCAACACCTGGCAAAAGCTGGCTGCAGGGCAGTGGGTCCCTTTTGCCTAAGGGGAAGCAAAGTGGAACTGGATTTCCTTGCACAGCCCTCTGTGTGTTGCTTGGTGCAACTGTGGTTTCGGTAGCTTGTTATGCTGCCTAAAGGTGTGGGCTGTGCAGCCCTGTCCCCTGCCCCATGCAGACCTGCAGGGACACCAGCACCAGAGTTGTTTGGGTGGCCTTGGGAGGAGAGGTCGATACCTGCCTGCTCACCCCACACCCTTGTTCTGTTAAGGCTGCCTGTGTTTCAGAGTAATGAAAAGTATAATTATGCAGCCCATATTCCTTGATGAAGCATCTTGTCTGCACAGAGATAGCTGCGCATATAAATATTGTGGATTTCCGCGTGCCTTTATTTCCCTTGCAAGCAATAGCACCATTACAGCAAATCTTCTGGATTTCCAAAGCAGCAAGAACATTTTCCCTGGAGCTAGATGCCTTGCAAAAAAAAGTATTCCCAAAGAATTCCAAGAGTTATTGTTCTCTGTCGCCACATTTGCTGATGTATGCACCCATCCTCCAAGCTGCGAGGCGAGCTGAATGAGAGGACCCCAGCCTTTCAGGAAAACTGATGAAAACAGGCTCAAATCCTGTACTGTACCTGCAGGCTGTTCCTGAAGTCAGGATCTTGTGCGCCGGGATTGCGCTGCTGTGCCCTGAGGAGTGTGTGAAGTGGTGGTGTGCAAGGTGGTGAAGCCCAGTGGGTGATGTCAGGTTTAAGCTGCAGGCATCGTTTGCTTACGGCTGTTTTGGTGGATGCAGGATGGAGCAGAGCAGAGCTCTGGCAGTGCTGCTGGTGGCTCTTCTGCTTGTCCTGGCATGGGGAATGTCACCCAGCAGGCAAGGCAGCCTCTGTATGGTGCAGAGCAGTGCAGGCAGCAGTGAAGGCACTAGGAATGTTCATGGCTCTGTTGGCAGCAGATGCTGCTGTGCCATGTGGCTGTGGGTACTGTTGGCAGCCATCGGGCTGCCATGGGCTTCCTGTGCTCGTGGTGTGGGCCCCATCTTCATCATAGCCTGGCATTGAGCAAAAGTGTGGAGAGAGGCTAGCGAGTAGAGTGAGCATCTAATATTAATCACTCCTTTTAAACTGACAAGGGAGGCAGTTCATTTAACCACTTAATCGCTACAAGTTTTCATGGGCTGCTCTTTGCAAATATATTTAATGAAGAAGTTGTAAATCTAAGGGAGCTTAAAATTTTAATTTTATACAGAAATATTTTTCCTTGTTCTCATGTTTGTAGTCAGTTCTCCAGAGTGCAGTCACATGAAATGTTCTTTAAATGAACATATTTGCTAACTGGCATGATTTCAGTTTTTAAAACATTGGTTCCAGCAATTAGGCATTTTTTTCAGTTCCCAAATGACTAGAGAAATTCGTCTTGATTATAATTGCTCTTAGCCACGCATATCTAATTTGTGTCTTTTTAAGTGTTAATTAGTAAACAGTTTGAGCTGACATCTTTATGTGTTTGCGTGTTGAAAAATGAGGCTTATTGCGTATTTAGCTCGGGGCTGCCGCTGCTCGCTGCGACATCCTGACATTGAGGTGCACTTAATGAAGACGCGTTTGCCAGTTGGACGGCGGCCGGGAGGAGATGACTCGGGGCCAGGGACGCACCGGGATGCGCACCCCCGGCCGCCGCTCCGGGTCCTGGGGCCTCCGGTGCTGTCGCTCCGGGTCCCGGTGCCTCCGGGTCCCGCCGCGGTCCCCGCGCGCCCTCTGCCGGCCCCGCGCTTCCCTGCAGGCCCCGCTGGTGCCCCCCGGAGCGGCCGCTTTGGTGACTTGGGGCTCCGTGTTCCGGGCATCCCGGTGGTGATGGAGGAGGGAGCGCCGGTGGCCTCGCTCGGAGACCCAGGATGGACTCAGCATTGGAACTGGGAAGGCCAATGCCGCATCTGCTGGGAGCCAGTGGAGGTGCTGGTCCAGTTCAGCATGGCGCCCTCGCACAGTGCCTGGGGCTGTTAGCATCACATCCCCGGCACAGCCAGCCCGGCCATCACTGTGGCTTCACCCCATGCACAGGGCCAGGGTCAGGCACTGGAAAAGTCACTGAGTTTTTGGGGCTGTACCACTGGCAGCATGTCCCATGCCCTAGGCTGGCTGGTGAGGAGCTGTGACAAATGGGCCTGGTTCAAGGGAACATCTTGGTTGACATCCCAGAAGCCCCAAACAGGACATGGAGACACAGGGGAGGACTGTCCATAGGCAGAGCAGTGTGTGTACAGGCCTGGGTGCCCAAGCTGCCCCAGGGCATCACTCCCAACAGCCAACATGGGACAGCCACTGCAGCATCATCCTCTCCTGGGGGACCACAGCAGCATCCAGGGTGACCAGGGGCTGTCGGGGTACGGCCCAACGCGTGCCACGAGATGGCACTGCTACGGTGTGTGCTGCAGCAGCCAGACCTGCACGGCTGCGTCCATCCACTGCAGGGACATGTATATAGGAATTTTCACCCACCTTGTCAAACCAACAATGTTAATTGTGGTACCAGCTTGTGTGAGCAAGGGCGGCAAAGGGGAGCCTTTCTGACTAGCTGCTTTTTGTGCAGGGTGCATGTGGTCATGTTTGTATTAATGCTGATGTTTAGGATGTTGTGTTAATGCTGGGTTTTAGGGGAGGGAATGGATCCATTACCACCGTGGAGTCAGGTAATGCTGCCATGTTCACCTGGCACGGCCCTACCTGGGGAGATCACAGCTCTGGGTGCTGCCAGGCCCTGTTCTTGCCTTGTTGTGTTGTCCTGGCATGGGCTGGGGAGCGTGGCCGCGCACGCTGCCCCCGGCTGCGCCCCACGGTTCCCTCTCTTGCTTTGCCCACAGTACGACTACAGCTTCCGGACGGAGCAGAGCGCGGCGGCCCGGCTGCCCCCCAGCCCCACGAGGTGCCCGCCGGTCCCGCAGTCCTGAGCGGGGCGGCCGGCGCTGGAGCGGGGTGTGCGTGCGTACTACTGAGCAGGATGTGGCACCGGGGCCATCCCAGACCTCCGCTCGCCCGGGCATCGCCGCCCTCCCTGCGCTGCACCACCTCCTCCTGCACACACTGCTCCACGCCTCGGGACTGCGCAACCCTTTGGCAGCTGCCCTCACCCTCCCTCGCTGCTGCGGGCTCCTCTCCACGTGAGTACGTGACTGGGAGCCTGAGGCATCCCCTCAGTCATCCCCTCTTCATACCCGTTGCTGCAGGACAGTGTTAAAAACCAGAGCTCTAACAAACTGCTGCAAACAGCGAGCTGTGTGTTCCTGGACCATCAAGAAATGCTCAGCAGCGAGCCCTAAAAGTAAGGAAGAACAAACGATATGGCTGGTTAATCCATGAGCCCATGAGCATCCTGCCCAAGCTGACGTGGAGCTGATGGGCTCTCAATGCCTTGCAGCAGGCAGCACTGAGCCACAGCAGATGCCCCGTCTGCCTCCAGGAAGGTCTGGGCACACAGGAGCTCCACCATGGCTGGGATCACTCCCAGGATGTGATCACTTGGCTCTGTTATAGCTGGCAGAGCTGGGGTCGCTTGCTCAGACTTGCCTTGGGCTCTGTCCCCTGTCAAGACAAAGGGGTGCAGAGAGCAGAAGCTGCACTGCTGTTCCTGAGGGGAAGCACCTCTGCTTTGCACAGGGTGTCCATGTGTCTGTCTGGACCAAGAGTGACAAACATCCTGTCTTTCTTTCTGGGCTGGATGCTGGCAGCACCCAGCTGACCCCCGGCCATGCTTCCTGCAGAGCTGGAGCTCTGCTGACAACTTGGATGCTGTCACCTGCTTGTCACTTCAGACAGCTTTCTGATACTTGCCCCGCTAGCTGCTAAAACAAAAGAGATGTGCCTGTTCCCTCATGTGCTCACGGGGAAGCACTGAACTCTGACGTAGTGCAGGATGAGAGTGGGATACATTAAACCCTGACCTCAGCCTCCTTGTGATCGCTGACCTTAGCTCGCTCCTGAGTCAAATGCATGTCTTGGAGAAGTCTGTTGCTGTAATAAGTTATTTAGAGGTGCCCATCTGACTCCATGCTGCTTTCTCAAGTCTCTGCTGTAGAACAAAGCTACATCATGGCAGCAAAATGGCATTTTTGAAGTGTTCAAACATACCAATTTTTTATATTGTAAAATACTGATTACCTAACCCTATTGAAATGCAATTGCCATAGTAACAAATAACAGTGTTGTCGCTCTCAGTCTGGGTCGTACGTATGCCCTGACCTGCTTTGCACTGCTTTTGATTGATCTTGCTTTTTCTAGCTGGCCAGAACGGTGACTAACACTAATGGTGACTAGGTTTTGTACTGTCAGCTTGTATGTTTTATTTGTACATATGTAAAATACTTCTTGTCCAAAGATTCATTTCTGGGTTTAAGGCACCATGCTGTATTGCTGGAATAATGAGCACAAAATCCTTACCATTCTGGACAGACTCATTTCAAGTCTTTGCTTCAACTTCTTCCAGTCAGGTAAATTGTTTTCTGAAACTGCCTCTGTAAGGCAAGGCTTTGCCATTGGGAAGCAGAGGCTCCTGTGGTTGCAGGTGTCTTCTTGTATTTGAGCAAAAGACTCAAAGCTGTCCCATTTGCACCAGCTCCGGAGCGTTGGTGACCCCCTGGAAGTGCTCGTTTACTTGGAGGTTGCAGCACCACTTTTAGTCCTTATTTATCCTGCAGGAAAGAAAAGCCAGACCTCACTGCCAAGCTTCACAAAGGCTAGATTGATGATGCCGACATCGACAAATGAACATACCATGGCAGCCTGGTCATTCGGCTCAGGTTCACTTGAAGTTCAAATCCACTGCATGCTGTAGTACTATGCCCATCTCATCCATCTTTTGTCTTCCTATTTTTCTGCTTGTAATTCGTTCTGTAGTTTTCTGTGGCATCCGTTTAGAGCTTCTCCTGTGGCTTAGTGGACACTGCAGGTAGGTAGAAGCCCTCTGCAACAATGCATTCCTTGTGGCTTTGGGCTGAAGGAGCTGCAGAGACATTCCCTGTTCCTGGTGGTGCAGGAGCAAGGACTGCAGGTAGGTGCAGGGCAGCCAGTGCAGAGTCTGCAGAGCTCCAGGGGCAGTTCCTGCCATTGGGAGATGGGAAGAGGGCTGCCAGGAGCTTTTCCTCAAGCCACATCTTCCCACACCAAGGGCAGGGCTGGCCATGGAGCAGCTGGAGCACTCCAGGAGGAGCTGGTTTGGATAGCTGCGATCAGTGGGGACATCTCAGAATAATGGGTCCATAGCCTCAAGTCCTTTACTGTGAGATTCAGCTTACAGAGCAGCAATAGATTAAATTGGTGCTTCAATAATGTTTATAGCAAATTACGTTGCTCAGCCTTCCTAGAGATGGTGAGCTCAGCTTTCTCTTCAGTACCTACAAGAAACACTGGATGGCTCAAAGCACTGACGGGATGTGCAGCTGGGACAAGCATCTAAGAAATCTCCAGGATATATTTGTATAGTTGGTTTTCACTTCTTACACTGGCCTAGCTGAGCTGCTTCAGAGATGCATCTACAAAGTTACTTGAGAGATCAGTTTGATCTTCACAGTGTGTTTCTGCACTGTGACACTGCAAGAATACCCTGTGCTGTAAGCAGGGATTTTGTGGTACAGCAGTTTTTGTGGTACAAATGCAGTAGAGTGTTTAGAGCAAAGAGCTACATCTTCTGAGAGCCATCCAGGCTCTCAGACTGGCTACTGACGGCTGGGCATTTCCAAAGGGAGAGGGCTTAGAGCCAGTGTTTGGAAGCCCAGCGAGACATGCAGTGCAGGGTGACTGCTGTGTGTGTCATCTGCTCAGGCCAGTCATTATAGGAAGCTTTTTTATTGCACCTCTGAATTCCCAAGATCTTGGGCATCAGGTCAGTGTTTCCACAGGCAGGTTTTATTTGCTGTTCCATTAAGTTTTATACTCACAGCAACTCACTGCAAGGCTGGTCCTTGTATCCTCACAACAAGTCCTCCCTGTTGGCATGTGCCATAGCCAATACCAGCATCTCTCTGCATCTCCCTCCCTCCCTGTCCAAAAGGTGCTGTGGTAGCATCAGCCCAGGCAGTAACTACTCAGAGAGCCTGATGTTGGTGTGTGGCTGTGGAGAAACCTTCTGGAGCATAAGGGAAGGGATGAGTCAGTGGAAAGCAGCAGAAGTGGATTTGCAGAGCTTTACCAGATGTGCTTGGCTACCTTGCCTCTCTTTCTAGAACAGAACTACCCTCCAGGTATCTTAATCTTGGGGCTGATGGAGAAATTAGTTTGCCGAATTATTGTGTATCTGCAACAGAGACAGAAAAGCAGCAGTGAGGGGTTTGCTTACTGTAAAATACACCTTCTGATGTGAATTAGTAGTGACACACTGCCTCCTGGATTTCTCACGGCAGAGAGCAGGTCACGTATTGAGATGACTCGTGGGCCATCCAGGCCAGGCTGTGCTGTCTGATGTGTTAACAATGGAAAGGCAAGAAATTAGTCCAGAAAATAATGTAGAGTGTGAACTTTGTGATACAATTCAAGTGTGAGCAGTCGTAGCAGGTGCCTTCCCTGGGGGAGCATCTCCATAGCCGTAGTTCCATAGGAATAAACTTTGTCAAGCTTTTTTCCTGTGACTGTCACCGAGTTTGCCCGCGGTGTGTTTGTAGGAGAGGATCCCCCGTGAGCCTCCTGTGTAGTGAGAGGTTGTTGTTGGTCTGTAGCATTGGGCTTGTTTGGTTTCACACCCGCCCCTATCCCCCCAGTTCCCTGAGCTCTCCAGATGAGCCCACACCCCACAGAGCCCAGAGAAGAGCCTGACGTGTGCCATGTGGACACTGGTGGCAAGGGCGTGTGTCTGCAGGTTGGGCACCTTCAGTGCAGCCCTAAAGATCAACCTGGGGGAGGGACAGTGGGATGTGGTGCCTTTGGAGTCGGTCCCACATTGGCCTTTGCCTCCCCACTGCCCTCAGGCAACATGGGCTCTGCCCCCAGCCACTCTCCCAAAGCATCCCTAGGAGCATGGCCGGGGTGGCCATGGGTGCATCCCATGGGTGCTGGCAGAGCAGCTTCCTGGGAAGCCCATCCCGCTCTTCCCGATGGCGTCTTGCTGTATTCACATAATTACCTCAGCCTTTGAGCCTTGACGAGCAGGCGGGAATTGCCAGCAGCAGAGCGGCCTCGGTGTTGGTTATCCCGAGCCATCGCACTCCGACAGCCGCAGGGAGGGCGCTCCCCTGCGCATGGAAAAGCTCAGTAAGGTGCTGCTCAATTCGTTCCATACAGGACAACCAAACCGTTTGGATATTCTGATTGTTTATTGTGAAATCGTTTCCTAACAGCAACAGGTTTAAATGTCATCCTGCAAATGGAACAGAGAAACCTTTTATGCAGTTGCGAAGTGTTTTTCTAAGATGCTATGCATTTTGTTGGGTTATTGGAAGTGAATTTACTGTGCATTAATCTTATGAATGTTACTACGTTTTATATTTATTTTAGATGACCCTCCTGTATTTTACAAAGGGAAGTTTCATTGTGTGATAACTTAGTCTGTATTCTTAATATAATTTGTTAAATAAAACTCGTTTTAATCAGTTTATCCTCTGTGCTTTGTGTCTTAAATTTGGAGTTTAAGAAGTTTAAAACCCTTCTTGCACAGTTTTGGTGGGATATGGGGGCCAAGACCAGAGATGCCTTTTCCTCTGCTCTCAAGCTGCCCAGGAAAGCCAAGGATGGGATGCAAAAGATGGGACCTGATTCCAGGCACAGGAGGAATAAAGAAATGGGAGCAGAAGCATCACTAGAGTTGGACAAGGGGCTGTGAAGCTTCAACTTCCTGGTGAACAGCAGTGATCGCCTGTGGCCCTGGCTGGTCTCTTGGCTGACCAAAGCAGCTACAGTCTGTCCATGGATCTGAGGGGTCAGGTGCAGAGGTGACAGCATCATCCCCCTGTAGGTAATGTGTGTGTTTTGTCCTTGGAAGTGAGAGGTAAAAAGCCTTGGAAAGTCTGTCCAAAATGTCTCTCAGAAAGTGTGCTGCAAAGTCAAAACACAGAACTCAAAACAGCTCAACTTCAGCGTTTTCTGGAGCTAGGGACCACAC